CGCCATTTTCATTTTTCCGCCATTTTATTATACTCCTCCATTCCTCCTCCTTTTTGTATGTATATATCGTTTTGCGACTCGTTCCCTACAAACGAACCGACCGACCGACCGACCCGGCATCCTTCCTATCCTATCGCATCCTCATCCTCTTCATATTCTTCTTTTTTTTTTTTTTTTTTTTCGGTCGTAGCAATAAATCATAAAAAAAAAATTTCTCTTCGCGCCAAAAAAAAAAAAAAATCGAATAGAAAAGGAGAGAGGGAAAAATGGAGGGAAAATGGAAAAAAAAAAAAATCTGATGAAAAAGCAAATGACGAAAAACTCCGAATCGTATTTTATAAAAAAAAAAAATCTCATCATTTCAACGATAATAATAATAATAATGATAATAATTCGTTTCGTTTGCTTTTTTTTTCCAATCATTGTTACGAACTTGTTTTGCTGTTGCCACGACAAAACAAAATAAATTTTCTTTTTTTTTTTTTTAAAAATAAAATCGAGTTTTAAATATCATTTGGGAAAAATCATTTACGATGACGACAAAACAAATGAGTTTTAGATAATAATAACAACAACAACAACAAAACAAAATTAAACAACCGAAAATCTCCTTTGAGACAAACAAACAAACAAACAAGTTCAAAATGTATGACTTTTGATAAAAAAAAAAAAAAAAATTTTTTGAATAAAATTTTCTCATTGGTTGTTGGATCGTTCGATCGTCGTTCGAATCGAAACATTTTAAATTATTATTATTTTTAATATTTCAAATATTATTATTATCATCGCTATTTAAGTAAAAATGGATAAATTTAAGGGGGAGGGAAGGGGAGGGGGTAAAAGAGGGGGGCACAAACACGAAAAAATTCGCGTAAAATGAGAAGAAAAAAAAAATAAATAAATAAAAGATGCGAAGCATTCATAAAAAAAGTAAAACAAAACCGTTTTTTTCTTTTGAAAAATAAAATAATTATAATGATGATGATGATGATAATAATAATAATAATAATAATAATAATAATAATAAGACCTGGGATAAATGCTTAAAAACCCCGACAAATAAGAGCCTTGTCGTGTTTAAGAGTGACCATAATAATAATAATAATAATAATAATAATAATAATAATAATAATAATAATAATAATTAATAATAATAAAAGTTTTTGGCAAATTGAAAAGTCTAATTAAAGAAAACTTTATTTAAAATAATTGTTTCTTAAGTCATAAAACTTTTCTCTCCGTTTGGTTGTTTTTTTTTTTTTTTTTTTTTTGTTTTTTCTAGAACGTTCTGAAAATTTCGACTTTAACTAATTGTTCAAAGTAATAAAATAAAATCGCATATTCGAATTTCTATTTAAATAAAAGAAAAAAGAAAAAATAGACAGAAATAAAATAATTTTCGTAAAACTTTTTACTCTTTTTTTTTTCTCCAGAAGGGGGGGGGGTTTGTTTGTTGTTGTTTCTAATTAATAATGTTACCCGGAATCGGACATTTATTTTTCCCGCCATTTTTTAAAAAATTTGATTCATTATCATGATCGTTAAATTATCTTTTCAAACGTTTTCATAATATTTTTTATTCTTTTTGGTTGATTTTGTGTCATTCGATGATGAAAATTTTTTTTTTACGACGCATAAATAATAAAATTAACAAACAAACAAACAAACGACGAACGACGACTCGCTGATAAAAATAACAGGGAGAAGCACGAACGAACGAAGAGAAAAATATCGTGTCAGTAGAAATGGAGAGAGAAAGAGAGAGAGAGAGGAGAGAGAGAGAGAACGTTGTAAAATCCGTTAAAACTCTTTGAAATGGTTGATAAATTATTAGTCAAGAACGTCGTTTACAACGTCATCACATCATAAAATAAAATAAAAAATTATTATCATTATTATCATCATTGAAAAGGGTTTTTCGGGGAAGGGGGGAGAGGACCGAGCGGGGAGCGGAGAAACGAAATTAAAATTTTTTTTTTTTTTTTTTGTTTTTCGACAGATTAAAAGAAATTCTCCAGTTGAAATTCGATCATTTTCTACAATTTTCCCGGCCAATGTTTTTCTTCATTAACTAAAACTCTCGTATGGGAAAAACAGGTAATAATAATAATAGTAATAGTAATAATAATAATAATAATAATAATAATAAATAATAATAATAATAATAAAAGCGTAAAAGCGTCGTAAACGACTCAAGTAAATTTTTACGCGATGAATGATGGGATTCCCTCAAAAAACACGTCGGTTGGCTGGCACCTGTCGTCCTGTCGTTCCTGTCGTTATAATAAATTATTAAAAAAGATTTTTAGTTTTATTAAAATCCTTTCAACTATTTTTCCCCTACACCTGTTGACTCCATTTTATATTTATAAAATAAACATCTACTTCCGGTTAAGTTTAAAACTAAAAAAAAAAAAAAAAAAAAAAAAACTAAATAATTATAATAAGTATTGTTAAATTATCATTATTAAACCGTTGAAACACGAACAAAAATAACAACAACAACAAGAATAATAATTAAGTCGATTATATATGTATCGAACGATAGGTAATTTCGATACGAGAATCGAATATCGAAAACGATTTTCTTTTTAAACAAAATTTTTTTTTTTTTTTTTTAAATTTTATTAAAAACCAATTTTACTCAAGTTTGTAATGTAATGATTCTGTTAAACGTTTGGTTAATCCTCTCTTTCTCTCTCTCTCTCACTTTCTTTCCCTCTCTTTTTTATTTTCAGTTCGTTTTCTTTTCTTTCTTTCTTTTATATATTTATTTTCTTCTTCTTCTATATTTTTAATAACCTTTTTGAAGTTAAAAAACTAAAAAAAAACTTTTGGTTATTAATTTTCCACCCTTTGTACAAAACTCCTCATACAATAAAAAAATTTAATTAAAATAAATTTAAACAAAAAAAAAAAAGAAAAGAAAAGAAAAGAAAAGAAAAGAAAACGTTGTGCCAACAACAAAAAAAAAAAATTTTTTTGTCTTGGCGCCACGTTTGAAACAAAAAAAAAGGTGGGGGAAAAGGAGAAAGGAGGGAAAGGGGGAGATGCGCTTGTATGTGTGGAAAATAAAACAATAGAAGAAAAGCGTAAAAAGTTTTTTTCCCCTCCCCCCTTCCCCCACGTCCTTCGAAAAAAAACAAAAAAAACAAAAAAAAAAACTTTAAAAAAATCTTAACTCAACCTGTTGTGTAATTATCAATTTTTTTTTTTTTGTTCTCTTAAACCAATTAATTTTTTTTTTGTTTGTTTTTGTTTGTTGTTGTTGTTGTCGTCGTTTTGCAACAAACGCACGTTTTCCATTCGACAATTTTACTTTCGTCCGTGCGTGCGTGCGTGCGTGAGTTTGAGAGAGAGAGAAAACATTTGAATTTACGATGATGTCACACGATGATTACGTAAAAAGGAAAATAAAACGTGGGATTAGCAAACGCGACGTGCGGGAAATGGATGGACTGAAGGCAATGGAGGTGGAGGGGGCGGTGGCGGGGGGTGTGGCGGCAGCGAATAAGAGGAAAAGGAAAAAATATATACGAAAGTGAAACCGATACTTTATTAATGTTGCGTCTCTTGTTTAAAAATTTTTTTTTTTTTTTGTTTTATAAATTTAAACAACAAGTGATCATTATATTAAAATGTTATGCGATAGTCAGTTTTATGTTTTTATTATTTAAATTTAATAAAAACCATAAATATAAATTTACAATAACAAACCGATTCCGATTGTTTAAAACAAAAAAAAAAAAAATAAAAAAAATAATAAAATTTTATCGATTTTTACACGCGCGTTTTAATTCTATTACTTTTGCCACGTTCGCTCGTACCTTACATTTCCTTCTTCCCATTTCCCCCCCTTCCCCTCCCTCCCTTTATTTTTATTTTTTTTTTTAATTTCATTTCGATCCTACTAATTTACAAAACAAATTTTTTTTTTTTTTTTTAAACATTTGCTGTCGTTGCTGTTGTCTTTGTCGTTGTTGTCGTTAAACAAAGTCTAATCAAATTTAAATGAAGAGAGACATGCGGCGAGTTTATTAAATTTAAAAAAAAAAAAAAATTAAATTAAATTTTCTTTTTGGTCAGCCATCGTTTTATTTTTTTTCGGGGGGGAAGGAGAAGAAGGAGTAGGAAGAAAAATTTTTTGATTTAATTTTTTTTTCGAATCCGAGTTTTTTCAAACGGGGGGTAAGAGAGGGGAGGGAAAGGGAAGGGGGAAAAAGGAGAGAGAGCACAAGAAAAAAATATTTTTTCTATTCTTTTGTTCTACTTTTATTTTCTGGCTCCGATGCTGCGATTTTAAAAATAGAAAAAAAAAACCCATTAAAAAATTTTTCGGTTTCAACAACTACTTTGCAACTTTTATTATTATTATTTAATGCATTCTTTTTTATTTTTTTTTACTCTATGACGTCGTTGTCGTCGTCGCCGCCATTTTGCTTAAATTAAATTCTCTCGACATAAATAAATTTTCATGGAAACGATTACGTTAATTTTTTTTTGCTTATTTTATGTTTTGTTTGATTTATTCGAATTCATCTTTTCATTAAAAAATGATAATGATAACGTTTTAAAATAAAAATCAATCGCGAAATACAAATTTGAAAATAATAATAATAATAAATAAAATAAATTTAAAACAATTTTAAAAAACAAAAATTTAAATACAAATTTATAATTAAATTAAAAAATTACGTGATTAATTCTTATAAAAATAACAAACGTGTTTAACACGACAAACAAACAAACAAGCAAACAAACAAACAATTTTTTTCTCTTTTCAATTATAAATTTAAATACAAAAAATAAAAATAAATAAAAAATAAAAAACCATTTTTGTAAATAATTTCGTCTGCATCGTTTTTTTTTTTTTTTCTAAAATAAAATTTTGTCGTCTGCTATTAAAAAAAAAATATTTATTTGTTTTATATGGTATATAAGAAAAAAAAAATAAGAAAGAAAGAAAGAAAAAAAAAATGAGTAAAGACATGTAAAAAAAAATGTTAGATTTATTAACAAACGTTAAATATTTATTAAAATTAGAACAAATATGCATTGATAATAACGTGTTTCGTTTACATTATAAAGCAACAGCATTTCTGTTGGCAATATGTTCAATTATAATAACATCAAAACAATATATAGGAGATCCAATAAATTGTATTTTAGATTCAAATATTGACAAAGAAGCCATTAATATTTATTGTTGGATATTTTCAACGTTCACATTGGGAAACAAACAATTCAATCGTAATAATAATAATAATAATAATAATAATAACGGTTGTAAGTGTTTAACGATTTGTTATTATATAATTATTATTAATAACTGTTACGCATAATGCAATTTAATTTTTTTATAAAATAATAATAATAATAATGATAAAAGAGAGAAAGGAAAAAAAAAAAATTTTTTTCACCACGAGTATCACCGTCATAGCATAGATGAAAGTTGTGATGGTGGTGATGGGGATGGGGGGTGATTGCGGGGGGTGATTGAAGAGTGGTAAGTAGTGTGGTAAATAGTAGGAGAAGAAAGCAATTCGTCTGGAGAATTCGCGATAAATTTTTATTAGGGGTAATATTTTAAATTCTTTTTTTTTTTTACTTTTTTTTTTCCTTCCGTTTGACAGTGATATATTAAAATAAAATTATTATTCATTAGTCAACCGTGCAACTTTGTTAATTACTTTTATAAAATTTATTTTAAAAACTTTAAACACCACCAGCAGCAACAGCAAAAGCAGAAGATAAAATTAAAAAGGTCGCACGAGTTTTTTTTTCCCCCCTTTTTTATTTTTATTTAATTATTATTATTATTACTACTAGCCTTTTTTTTCTCTCTTTTTTGAATCGCTTTTTTTTATTTTTTATTTTTTTAAATAGTGTCGACGCGTCAAGAAGAACCGTATCCAGGAGTTGGAAACGAAAACAAGGATTCGGAAATAATCCATCAAAAATATTATCAATGGGTTTGTTTTATTCTTGCCATACAAGCCGCCATGTTTATATTTCCTCATTGTTTATGGAGAGTTTGGGAAGGTGGAAGAATTAAAATGCTCGTCGCTAACTTATGTAAGTTTTTAAAGTTTTAAACTCGAACGAACGAACAAACGAACGATTCATCCCACGAATGAATGAATGAATGAACGAATTAAAATTTAATAGGAAATATGAAATGGAAAAACGAGAAAAAAAAAACTGAAAATTTTCAAAAAAAAAAAAAAAAAACGATCCAGTAGATTTTAATGGAATAAATCGTCGAACGAACGAGCGAACAAACGAGGGAACAAACGAGCGAACAAACGAACAAACGCTTTCGCTTTATTTTTTTTTTTTTTAAATTTTTTATTTATTCTTTTTTACTCTTTTCCAATAAATCAAATATGGTTGCCTTTAGTTTTCAGTTTTTTCAAAAATTTGTTTTTGTTTTAAGTAAATGTAAAAAATTTTTTTTACTTTTTAAAAGTGGTTTAAATAATTTTTTTTTATACAAAATTTCAGGTGCGCCGATGACGGAAAATTGGACGGAACAAAGAAAAGAACAAACGGTTAATTACCTATCAAATTCCGGTTTAAACAATTTAAATTTATACGCTTTGCAATTTTTATTTTGCGAATTTTTAAACGTCGTCAACATATTCCTACACATAATCATATGGAATCAAGTTTTCAATAAGAAATTTTTAACTTTCGGCACTGACGTCATACAATACGCAAGTTCAAATGGTAAAACCCTAACCCACGATCCCGTCACGGCACTTTTCCCGAAAATAACAAAATGTAATTTTCATTATTACGGACCCTCGGGTTCCCTACAGCAAATCGATGCCGTTTGCGTTCTACCCCTAAACATAGTCAATCAAAAAATGTTTTTATTCCTTTGGTTTTGGTTTTTTTTTCTCGCCGTCATAACCGTCGTAGGATTTTTTTACGATATTTTTCTATTCCGACAGAAATGCATGAGAACGTACGTTTTACAAGCTCAGGCTAGATCCGTTCCGCGGGGTCACATAACGACCATCGTGAGAAAAGGAACTTTGGGTCATTGGTTTCTATTGCATCAATTGGGAAGAAATATGAATCCTTTCGTTTTCGAAGATTTATTAATAGAATTATCTAAAACTCTTGATAATTCTAAAACTAAATTAAAAGACAACAACAATCCCGTTAGTTATCCCGGATAGTGATGATAATAATAATAATAATAATAATAATAATAATAAAACGATTCGTTCGTTCGTAAAAAAAAAAAAAAAAAAACGTCAGATATTGAATGTTTTTAAAAAACGATACGAATACGAAGTGGGGGGGAGGGCAGTGGAGAAGGAGGAATTTTTTCCCAGAAATCAAGCTTTTAATGGAATTTTCATTTTAATTTTTTTTTTCTTTTTTTTTTTTAAAGTTTTAAATTTCTTTAATGACGTAATAGAGAAAAAGAAAATGAGCGAGGGAGAAAATGAGCGAGGGAGAAAATGAGGGAATAAAACAGTAAATGGGGAACAATTAAAAAAAAAAAAAAGTATTTTTTACGTTTTTCCTAAAAATACTAAAAAAAAAAAAAAATTCAATTTCAGTATTATTATTATTATTATTATCATTATTAATAGTATAAGAGTAAAAATGGCAACATTGTAAACACAAACCGATCGGATTTTTTTTTTTTTTTTTTTTTTTAATAAAACATTTATTTTCACATGAGTAAAAAAAAAAAAAAACTTTTATTCAAAGGAAATTTCGTTTTTTTTTTGTTCGCTCGTTTGTTTGTTTGTTTGTTTCCGTTATAACAAACACGTATATACGCGTAAATTTGTAATTTTGTTGCAAAGTGAAAATAAAATAAATAAAAAAAAACGTTTGTTTGAATCCGAAATTGCAAAAAAATTATTTTCTTTTTCCACGTTTTTTTTAAAATTAATAATCGAACGATTAAAAACGCGTTTAAACAAATAAATTATTATTATTATTATTATTATTATTACATAAATTTAACCCTTTTTTTCCAAACGAAACTAAATAAATTATTAATAAATTAACGAATCGTAAATTTTTTTTAATAATATATAAATATCTCAAATCATTTATTTAAAAAAATTGCGAATCCTCAAAGGAGTAAAAGAAAATTTGTGGGAAAAAGAAGAAAAAGAAGAAAAATGTAATAATTTGCGGGCCGTAAAATTGCCGTAAAATAAATTTTTTTAAATTTTTTTTTTTGTCGTGTAATTAGAAAAAAAAATAATAATTTTTTTTCCCTTTTTTTTTTTTTTTTAATTGAAATTTAATTACGAAAAAAAACTTATTAAATTTTTACATTCTATCATTAATTTTTTTTTAGAAAAAAAAAAAAAAGTAGAGATAAAACTGAAAATGATTAACGCCCGTTTTTTTCCTCCCCCCCTCTTCCTCCCTCCCTCCTTCCTTCCTTTTTTTCTTTTTCCTTTTTTTTTTTTTTTTATTATTAGAGTAATTAATAAAGGTTATTAATTACGAAATGAGAGCACCAGACCCGTCGCAAAAAAAAAAAAAAAAATTTTCCTTCCTTTTTTTTTTTAAACTTTAATAATAATAATAATAATAATAATAATAAATTTGGTTTATTTTTTATTTAAAATTTAAACAAAAAAAAAGTCAAAATAAATAAATAAATAATTATTTTAATTATTATTAATAAATAAATAATTTAATAAGTTTACGCGAAACTGAAGGAAGAAAGAAAAAAAAACTAAAAAAAATTTTTTTTTTTTTTAATTTTTTTCTTTTTTTCTTCTTCCACTTTTTTTGTATCTTCTGTCTCTCTTTTTTTTTTCTTTTATAGCGCTATAAATGTTCAGACGTCATAATTTACGCGATATAGTAAAAAAAAATAAAAGGCCTTAACTTCGATTAAATTCATTCCAAACAATAAATAAATAAATAAATAATTAATTTTCTATTTTTTTTTTTTTATTAAAAATTCATTCAATCATTTCATTCCATTTTAAATTAACTCGTTTAACAATAAATTTTTTTTTTTTTATTTTTCTTTATTTAAGTATAGTTTCATTTAAACAAACAATCAAACAAACAAACGAGCAAACAAACAAACGACAATCTATCTAATTCGTTTTTCAAATCCTTTTTTTTTTACTTTTTTTTTACGTTTTATTTTTTTCTTTAAACAAAACACTTACTCAATGTTTAAAAATCAAAACATTCGTTTTCCCGTTTTTTTCCCCGCCCCGTCCCGCTCCGCCCCGCCCCTTCTTTCTCTTTCCACTCGCTTTAACCTCTTCGCTTCCTTCCCCTCCCCCTTTGTTTTTTTTTTCCACGCCCAATCCCCTTCGTTTTTTTCTCTTTTTTTCTGTCCGCCGTCTTTCCCCTTTCTCCCTCCCCTTTCCCCTCCTCCATCCCCATCCCATTTCACTTTTTCATCGTGTTGTTGTTTTTGAATGAAAAAAAACAAAAACATTGAAAGGAAAAGCGAAGCTAAAATAAATAAATAAATAAATAAATAATATTTTTTTATGGATGATGTACCGAATGGAATCAAAATAAAATATATATATTTATATACATCGCGTGTTTTTTTTTTTTTTTTCCAATAATACGATCCATATTATTATCTTATATTAAATATAATTCAATATATATATTTTTTTTTATTTTTTAATATAAAAAAAATTATTATACGAATAAATTTGACGATAAAGTTTTTTTTTTGCATAAGCGACTAATCATGCGCACGATTTGTTGCATTGAATTGTTTTGCCCATACGGTTTTTCCACCAGGAAGTTAAACATAATAAATTATTAGATAAAGTCATTTATATGTTTATTTTTTATTTTTTTTGGAATTCTGGATTTTGGAAGCATAAAATCGTTTTGGAAAATTTTTTTTTTTTTTTTTGCGATATGCATGTAATATTTCATCGAACGTTATTGTCCTTGTCTTTGTCGGATTTTTTTTTTTTTTTTTTTT